AAACAGACTTTTCTAAAAGCCAAAACAAGAGCCACCATTAAGTTAAAAATAAAGCACAAGTGTGTAGCATAGAACTTTGAAACCCAGACTTTAAATTATTTTTTTGTTCCTGTCCATCATCCCTCTAGAACTACAACTTGAAGCTAAAACAGACTTTTCTAAAAGCCAAAACAAGAGCCACCATTAAGTTCAAAATAAAGCACAAGTGTGTAGCATAGAACTTTGAAACCCAGACTTTAAATTATTTTTTGTTCCTGTCCATCATCCCTCTAGAACTACAACTTCAAGCTAAAACAGACTTTTCTAAAAGCCAAAACAAGAGCCACCATTAAGTTAAAAATAAAGCACAAGTGTGTAGCATACAACTTTGAAACCCAGACTTTAAATTATTTATTGTTCCTGTCCATCATCCCTCTAGAACTACAACTTGAAGCTAAAACAGACTTTTCTAAAAGCCAAAACAAGAGCCACCATTAAGTTAAAAATAAAGCACAAGTGTGTAGCATAGAACTTTGAAACCCAGACTTTAAATTATTTTTTGTTCCTGTCCATCATCCCTCTAGAACTACAACTTGAAGCTAAAACAGACTTTTCTAAAAGCCAAAACAAGAGCCACCATTAAGTTAAAAATAAAGCACAAGTGTGTAGCATAGAACTTTGAAACCCAGACTTTAAATTATTTTTTTGTTCCTGTCCATCATCCCTCTAGAACTACAACTTGAAGCTAAAACAGACTTTTCTAAAAGGCAAAACAAGAGCCACCATTAAGTTCAAAAATAAACCACCACTGTGTAGCATAGAACTTTGAAACCCAGACTTTAAATTATTTTTTTGTTCCTGTCCATCATCCCTCTAGAACTACAACTTGAAGCTAAAACAGACTTTTCTAAAAGCCAAAACAAGAGCCACCATTAAGTTCAAAAATAAAGCACAAGTGTGTAGCATACAACTTTGAAACCCAGACTTTAAATTATTTTTTGTTCCTGTCCATCATCCCTCTAGAACTACAACTTCAAGCTAAAACAGACTTTTCTAAAAGCCAAAACAAGAGCCACCATTAAGTTAAAAATAAAGCACAAGTGTGTAGCATACAACTTTGAAACCCATACTTTACATTATTTATTGTTCCTGTCCATCATCCCTCTAGAACTACAACTTGAAGCTAAAACAGACTTTTCTAAAAGCCAAAACAAGAGCCACCATTAAGTTAAAAATAAAGCACAAGTGTGTAGCATACAACTTTGAAACCCATACTTTACATTATTTATTGTTCCTGTCAATCATCCCTCTAGAACTACAACTTGAAGCTAAAACAGACTTTTCTAAAAGCCAAAACAAGAGCCACCATTAAGTTCAAAATAAAGCACAAGTGTGTAGCATAGAACTTTGAAACCCAGACTTTAAATTATTTTTAGTTCCTGTCCATCATCCCTCTAGAACTACAACTTGAAGCTAAAACAGACTTTTCTAAAAGCCAAAACAAGAGCCACCATTAAGTTAAAAATAAACCACCACTGTGTAGCATACAACTTTGAAACCCAGACTTTAAATTATTTTTTGTTCCTGTCCATCATCCCTCTAGAACTACAACTTGAAGCTAAAACAGACTTTTCTAAAAGGCAAAACAAGAGCTACCATTAAGTTCAAAATAAACCACCACTGTAGCATAGAACTTTGAAACCCAGACTTTAAATTATTTTTTGTTCCTGTCCATCATCCCTCTAGAACTACAACTTCTAGCTAAAACAGACTTTTCTAAAAGGCAAAACAAGAGCTACCATTAAGTTCAAAATAAACCACCACTGTAGCATAGAACTTTGAAACCCAGACTTTAAATTATTTCTTCTTCCTGTCCATCATCCCTCTAGAACTACAACTTGAAGCTAAAACAGACTTTTCTAAAAGCCAAAACAAGAGCCACCATCAAGTTCAAAATAAAGCACAAGTGTGTAGCATAGAACTTTGAAACCCAGACTTTAAATTATTTATTGTTCCTGTCCATCATCCCTCTAGAACTACAACTTGAAGCTAAAACAGACTTTTCTAAAAGCCAAAACAAGAGCCACCATTAAGTGAAAAATAAAGCACAAGTGTGTAGCATAGAACATTGAAACCCAGACTTTAAATTATTTTTTTGTTCCTGTCCATCATCCCTCTAGAACTACAACTTGAAGCTAAAACAGACTTTTCTAAAAAGGCAAAACAAGAGCCACCATTAAGTTAAAAATAAAGCACAAGTGTGTAGCATAGAACTTTGAAACCCAGACTTTAAATTATTTTTAGTTCCTGTCTATCATCCCTCTAGAACTACAACTTCAAGCTAAAACAGACTTTTCTAAAATCCAAAACAAGAGCCACCATTAAGTGAAAAATAAAGCACAAGTGTGTAACATACAACTTTGAAACCCAGACTTTAAATTATTGTTCCTGTCCATCATACCTCTAGATGTACAACTTCAAGCTAAAACAGACTTTTCTAAAAGCCAAAACAAGAGTCACCATTAAGTGAAAAATAAAGCACAAGTGTGTAGCATACAACTTTGAAACCCAGACTTTAAATTATTTTTTGTTCCTGTCCATCATCCCTCTAGAACTACAACTTGAAGCTAAAACAGACTTTTCTAAAAGGCAAAACAAGAGCCACCATTAAGTGAAAAATAAACCACCACTGTGTAGCATAGAACTTTGAAACCCACACTTTACATTATTTTTTGTTCCTGTCCATCATCCCTCTAGGACTACAACTTCCAGCTAAAACAGACTTTTCTAAAAGCCAAAACAAGAGCCACCATTAAGTGAAAAATAAAGCACAAGTGTGTAGCATAGAACTTTGAAACCCAGACTTTAAATTATTTTTTGTTCCTGTCCATCATCCCTCTAGAACTACAACTTGAAGCTAAAACAGACTTTTCTAAAAGCCAAAACAAGAGCCACCATTAAGTTAAAAATAAAGCACCGGTGTTTAGCATAGAACTTTGAAACCCAGACTTTCAATTCTTTTTTGTTCTTGTCCATCATCCGTTACACATGCTTCCGTAAAAGGGAGCCTGTTTCTAGTGTACCAGCTTAGAAAATAGAGACTGTGGGTTTCTCACAGACTTTTGGTCAGAAGAAGCTGGCTCCTGACAACAGCTGGCGCTGGGTGACCTGGCACTCACGCATTGGCCAAGACTTCTGGCGAGGGAGGAGCTTGTCCAGCACCCCCTCTATAAAAAAGGGCCGACTCTCCTCTAGCGATGTCACTGTTTCCATCAAGATCAGCAGAAACAAGTGTTACATTATTGATTGAGATCAGCTTAATCTATTTAAAATGGACCCAGGCACGAAGAACAAAGTGCGTGCCTTCATTCAACCTTATGCGGGGAAGATCTGGGATATTGGGAGACGTAAATTACAGGCGTGTGGCGTGCACCAAGCCCTTTTGCTCTTGGACCCACTCTGTACATTTATAATCAATGAGATGCTGGTTTTTGTCCTTGACAAGATAGCTACAGCGGCATACAACAAGGTCAATGTCAAAGCTTTAAAAAGGAACATCAAGAATTATTTTACAAAAGGAAACCTTCGGTTCCACCGGGCACCAGTTCAGCTGGTTTAATCTCTGCCTGTGAAGCCAGATTTTGTTTCCGCTATCTTGAGATTGCTTAGAAGACAAAGTGACCAAATATTTTGATGAGACGACACCCGGTGAGGAGTTCCAACAGTAGATTGTGGCTTCCTCATTACATATTAATGTCCTAGGTTACAATAATGGTCTTCCGGAGGGCTCACAGTCTCCTTTTCCTTGGCTCCCCCGACGTATTCCTGCATGGCCCCCCCAACCACCAGGAACCATGGAATTTTTATTCTGAACTTAGCTTCCTTGCCCACACCACCTCCACCTCCACCTCCCCGGCATGAACGGCACCTTGAAGCCGAGACAATAAAAAGAATGGTACAAAGACAATGTGGTGTCCTGGCTGTCCTGTGGCAACTTCCTTCCCATTCGGGGGGTGAGACCCTGTCCTGGGTTGTGAGCAGGGGACGGGTGCCGATCTGGAGGGACCCACCAGGGGCCGGGAGGGTCTCTCGGTGGGGCAGGAGGTGTCTGTGCCGAGAGCCTCCTGGGCATTTGGAAGATAGACAAGTGTCAAAGATGAAGCTCTAGAGTCCAGTCCTGAGGAGGAGGCTGTAAAAACCTCCTGCTTGAGTTTGGAGAGCACAGGGTGTGGCAGCCGGCACAGAGCCGGGCGCCTGCCTGTCAAGGGGATGTCCACACTAACAGGACCAGCACCACCAGATGGAGGGGCCGGCCTGACATGGCCGCCGCGGGGAAGGTGGAGACATCCACGGGGACCCGAGCAGGTTCTCGGGGACAGAAAGACACAAGGAACAACAAGCGTGGGTCAGGGAAGGGGGGAACGTGGATCTGGGCGTTTATGAACCGCCCGCTCCCCCAGGACCGTCAAGACAGACCTTGGCAGGGGAACCTGTGGACTGGACAGGCCCCTCTGCCCTCCTAAATGTCCCTTTCAGACCCAGGGTTTCAACAGAGCGGGGCTCCCCTGAGGCCCCTTTTCGCAGGAGGAAAGAAACGTGTGGACACGCAGCGTCAACCCCTGCAACGTTATTCCTAACCTTCAAATTCACCTCCGTGGGCTGCTACAGTACTTGCCTTCTCTTGGTCTCTTCCCCCTCACTCCATCCCTGCTTCCCCTGCCGTCCTTCCCCTGCCGGCTCCAGTCCGTCCACCGCAGGCCAGAACCCTCTGCCCCTGACCCACACGCACCTCATCTGTCTAGAGTTTCCTGGGCTGCGCACTCTTTTCTGTCCCTCAACACCCACATCTTCACTCTCTGGCTCTTCGACATTGATCAGGTTTCTCCAGCCCAGGACTTGTAGGCTTGGGCAACCTACCCCAAACCACATCATTTCTACATACGTGGAGGCTCTGCACGCTGCACTTTACACTCTTCCTTCCATTCTCCACCCCCCCCCCAACACACACACACTGCGCCTACCTCTCTCTCCATTTGGGGTTAATCTTGGCACTGAACACCCTGAGGCCATCGCAACCTCCATCCCTGCCCCAAGACTCCTCACTTTCCACAGGCATTTTCTTCAGCCGTCCTTCGGGATCTCGGTGAGCTTTCCTTACAGATGTCAACATCTCCTTACACAAAAAGTTGGCTGCAGCGTGGTTTGTCACTCATGGGACTTAGGTGCCTTTCTGAGGCAAACAAGTGCTGCAAGTCACCAGACCCACAGCCAGATTTGAGCAACTGTGCAGTCTAGGCCCATGGAGAAATGAAACTGAGAAGCCTGCCCCAGTTTGAACAACTCCCTGACAAAAGTCTTGCCACCACCTCCTCCTCCTGCTTCTCATTGGCCATTGCCCATCCCCGCCCCGCGCCCCCCCCCCCCACCCGTGGCAGTTCAGGAAACCTCTTGGCTCTAAACAGTCACACTTCCTGAACAGCCTGCTTTTAAGGTTCCGTTCCCTGTTGGTGAGAGCAGAACATCAGCACTTCCCTAAAGTTCTTCAAGAGAATAAATACAGACAGGGAACAAGAAGCTAAGGCCTTTCCTTGATTCTTTACAAGAATATCAAGATATCCTGAGGAATTCAAGAAAGAAGCATGGATACAGACACCAGTGAGCCGACTGTGGAAGGATAGGCCGGGTGGCGAGGCAGGAAAGGGTCGAGCGGACATGGATGGTGGTGGGAGGAGACTCTACTTGGGACATCGGACCCACAACACAACCCAAGGGGACACACTGTAGACTGCTGGACCTCCGAGCTGCACTGTTTCACTGACCGATGTCACCTCCCTGCATCCCGCTCAAAGCAATTAAACAAGTCCATCAGTAAATACAGTTTGAGGAGCAAAAATTGTGTGTGTTTAAAACCTGTACATGTATTTGCCAATGACACACTCTGTTTTTAGGACTAAAGATGTTAATTCCTCCTTTTACTAACCTAAAGAATCTTCAGTGCTTACTTCCTACGTGACCCAGAGACTAAAGGGCCTAAGACGTAAGAATTTCACTTACTTTCCAGAGAAACTCTCTATTTTTGGAGGTAGGGCTTTTTAGCCTGCTCTACAACTTGAAGCTAAAATAGACTTTTCTAAAAGCCAAAACAAGAGCCACCATTAAGTGAAAAATAAAGCACAAGTGTGTAGCATACAACTTTGAAACCCAGACTTTAAATTATTTCTTCTTCCTGTCCATCATCCCTCTAGACCTACAACTTGAAGCTAAAACAGACTTTTCTAAAAGCCAAAACAAGAGCCACCATTAAGTGAAAAATAAAGCACAAGTGTGTACCGTAGAACTTTGAAACCCATACTTTACATTATATATTGTTCCTGTCAATCATCCCTCTAGAACTACAACTTGAAGCTAAAACAGACTTTTCAAAAAGCCAAAACAAGAGCCACCATTAAGTTCAAAATAAAGCACAAGTGTGTAGCATAGAACTTTGAAACCCAGACTTTAAATTATTTTTTGTTCCTGTCCATCATCCCTCTAGAACTACAACTTGAAGCTAAAACAGACTTTTCTAAAAGGCAAAACAAGAGCCACCATTAAGTTCAAAATAAACCACCACTGTGTAGCATAGAACTTTGAAACCCAGACATTAAATTATTTTTTGTTCCTGTCCATCATCCCTCTAGAACTACAACTTGAAGCTAAAACAGACTTTTCTAAAAGCCAAAACAAGAGCCACCATTAAGTTAAAAATGAAGCACAAGTGTGTAGCATACAACTTTGAAACACAGACTTTAAATTATTTTTAGTTCCTGTCCATCATCCCTCTAGAACTACAACTTGAAGCTAAAACAGACTTTTCTAAAAGCCAAAACAAGAGCCACCATTAAGTTAAAAATAAAGCACAAGTGTGTAGCATAGAACTTTGAAACCCAGACTTTAAATTATTTTTTTGTTCCTGTCCATCATCCCTCTAGAACTACAACTTGAAGCTAAAACAGACTTTTCTAAAAGGCAAAACAAGAGCCACCATTAAGTTCAAAATAAAGCACAAGTTTGCAGCATAGAACTTTGAAACCCAGACATTAAATTATTTTTTGTTCCTGTCCATCATCCCTCTAGAACTACAACTTGAAGCTAAAACAGACTTTTCTAAAAGCCAAAACAAGAGCCACCATTAAGTTAAAAATAAAGCACAAGTGTGTAGCATACAACTTTGAAACCCATACTTTACATTATTTATTGTTCCTGTCCATCATCCCTCTAGAACTACAACTTGAAGCTAAAACAGACTTTTCTAAAAGCCAAACCAAGAGCCACCATTAAGTTCAAAATAAAGCACAAGTGTGTAGCATAGAACTTTGAAACCCAGACTTTAAATTATTTTTTGTTCCTGTCCATCATCCCTCTAGAACTACAACTTGAAGCTAAAACAGACTTTTCTAAAAGCCAAAACAAGAGCCACCATTAAGTTAAAAATAAAGCACAAGTGTGTAGCATAGAACTTTGAAACCCAGACTTTAAATTATTTTTTGTTCCTGTCCATCATCCCTCTAGAACTACAACTTGAAGCTAAAACAGACTTTTCTAAAAGGCAAAACAAGAGCCACCATTAAGTTCAAAATAAACCACCACTGTGTAGCATAGAACTTTGAAACCCAGACTTTAAATTATTTTTTGTTCCTGTCCATCATCCCTCTAGAACTACAACTTGAAGCTAAAACAGACTTTTCTAAAAGCCAAAACAAGAGCCACCATTAAGTTCAAAAATAAAGCACAAGTGTGTAGCATACAACTTTGAAACCCAGACTTTAAATTATTTTTTTGTTCCTGTCCATCATCCCTCTAGAACTACAACTTGAAGCTAAAACAGACTTTTCTAAAAGCCAAAACAAGAGCCACCATTAAGTTAAAAAATAAAGCACAAGTGTGTAGCATACAACTTTGAAACCCAGACTTTACATTATTTATTGTTCCTGTCCATCATCCCTCTAGAACTACAACTTGAAGCTAAAACAGACTTTTCTAAAAGCCAAAACAAGAGCCACCATTAAGTTAAAAATAAAGCACAAGTGTGTAGCATACAACTGTGAAACCCAGACTTTAAATTATTTATTGTTCCTGTCCATCATCCCTCTAGAACTACAACTTCAAGCTAAAACAGACTTTTCTAAAAGCCAAAACAAGAGCCACCATTAAGTTCAAAAATAAAGCACAAGTGTGTAGCATAGAACTTTGAAACCCAGACTTTAAATTATTTTTTTAGTTCCTGTCCATCATCCCTCTAGAACTACAACTTGAAGCTAAAACAGACTTTTCTAAAAGCCAAAACAAGAGCCACCATTAAGTTAAAAATAAACCACCACTGTGTAGCATACAACTTTGAAACCCAGACTTTAAATTATTTTTTGTTCCTGTCCATCATCCCTCTAGAACTACAACTTGAAGCTAAAACAGACTTTTCTAAAAGGCAAAACAAGAGCCACCATTAAGTTCAAAAATAAACCACCACTGTGTAGCATAGAACTTTGAAACCCAGACATTTAAATTATTTTATTGTTCCTGTCCATCATCCCTCTAGAACTACAACTTGAAGCTAAAACAGACTTTTCTAAAAGCCAAAACAAGAGCCACCATTAAGTGAAAAATAAAGCACAAGTGTGTAGCATACAACTGTGAAACCCAGACTTTAAATTATTTATTGTTCCTGTCCATCATCCCTCTAGAACTACAACTTGAAGCTAAAACAGACTTTTCTAAAAGCCAAAACAAGAGCCACCATTAAGTTCAAAAATAAAGCACAAGTGTGTAGCATACGAACTTTGAAACCCAGACTTTAAATTATTTTTTGTTCCTGTCCATCATCCCTCTAGAACTACAACTTGAAGCTAAAACAGACTTTTCTAAAAGCCAAAACAAGAGCCACCATTAAGTTCAAAATAAAGCACAAGTGTGTAGCATAGAACTTTGAAACCCAGACTTTAAATTATTTTTTGTTCCTGTCCATCATCCCTCTAGAACTACAACTTGAAGCTAAAACAGACTTTTCTAAAAGCCAAAACAAGAGCCACCATTAAGTTCAAAATAAAGCACAAGTGTGTAGCATAGAACTTTGAAACCCAGACTTTAAATTATTTTTTGTTCCTGTCCATCATCCCTCTAGAACTACAACTTCAAGCTAAAACAGACTTTTCTAAAAGGCAAAACAAGAGCCACCATTAAGTTCAAAATAAACCACCACTGTGTAGCATAGAACTTTGAAACCCAGACATTAAAATTATTTTTTTGTTCCTGTCCATCATCCCTCTAGAACTACAACTTGAAGCTAAAACAGACTTTTCTAAAAGCCAAAACAAGAGCCACCATTAAGTTAAAAATAAAGCACAAGTGTGTAGCATACAACTTTGAAACCCAGACTTTAAATTATTTTTTGTTCCTGTCCATCATCCCTCTAGAACTACAACTTGAAGCTAAAACAGACTTTTCTAAAAGCCAAAACAAGAGCCACCATTAAGTTAAAAATAAAGCACAAGTGTGTAGCATACAACTTTGAAAACCCAGACTTTAAATTATTTATTGTTCCTGTCCATCATCCCTCTAGAACTACAACTTCAAGCTAAAACAGACTTTTCTAAAAGCCAAAACAAGAGCCACCATTAAGTTCAAAAATAAAGCACAAGTGTGTAGCATAGAACTTTGAAACCCAGACGTTTAAATTATTTTTTGTTCCTGTCCATCATCCCTCTAGAACTACAACTTCAAGCTAAAACAGACTTTTCTAAAAGCCAAAACAAGAGCCACCATTAAGTTAAAAATAAAGCACAAGTGTGTAGCATAGAACTTTGAAACCCAGACTTTAAATTATTTTTTTGTTCCTGTCCATCATCCCTCTAGAACTACAACTTGAAGCTAAAACAGACTTTTCTAAAAGCCAAAACAAGAGCCACCATTAAGTTCAAAAATAAACCACCAGTGTGTAGCATAGAACTTTGAAACCCAGACTTTAAATTATTTTTTGTTCCTGTCCATCATCCCTCTAGAACTACAACTTCAAGCTAAAACAGACTTTTCTAAAAGCCAAAACAAGAGCCACCATTAAGTTCAAAAATAAAGCACCAGTGTGTAGCATAGAACTTTGAAACCCAGACTTTAAATTATTTTTTGTTCCTGTCCATCATCCCTCTAGAACTACAACTTGAAGCTAAAACAGACTTTTCTAAAAGCCAAAACAAGAGCCACCATTAAGTTCAAAATAAAGCACAAGTGTGTAGCATAGAACTTTGAAACCCAGACTTTAAATTATTTTTTGTTCCTGTCCATCATCCCTCTAGAACTACAACTTCAAGCTAAAACA